GTCCCCCGAGCTCCAGAATTCTGGGCTAATGTCACACAGGCTGAAAATGCTGTAGAGGTTTGCTTATTTTTATATTTCCTATGACCATAAGACCATATTGTTATTTGTTTCCCTCTGACTAAATTATTATTAAAATTATTGTTTGTTCACATCAAACAACCAGAACACATTACATGCTTTGAGACTTGTTAGACGTGAAAAGTGACGGATACTCTGTAGGGCGTGGTCCTTTCTCACTTGGTCCCCGTGTGAACGGCTGGCTCCCACTGGCTTCCAAAACGAGGCCGCATCGGAGAGTCGCGCTCCTCTTTCCGTCCTCCCTTCAGCGGTCGTTTCCCTTCGTCCCTGCGGGAGCTCAGGAAACGCAAGCACGTGAATAAATAAACGGAGACTAATGAGCTATAGCAACACCACTTTCTTAAACTCCTTCCAAGCTATGTGCCAAAACTTGGGACCTATCTATCACCTATCATTAGGGATTATTTTTAACAATCTCCATCTTCAGCTCGGTTAGATTCCCCCCCTCCGTTTTGTTAAGATCACAGCCCTGCATGCCGCTGTGTTGCTGGGGTCAGAGCCCATCACGGGGGTTCTTAGTCCACCCAGCCTTGCAGTCCCTGGTCCTTTGTCTGGAGCACCAGGGACAGGTGAGGGGCTCCCTGGCCTTCCTTCCCCTTGCGACACACCGCTGAGGCATGACGGAACGGGCCATGGGGAAGGAGCTAGTCACAGGCACCTTTGCACGACACCCAGGGCCCGGGGACCGGTTCTGTGAAGGCTGCCGTGTGTCTGTGGACAGTCCGGTGGACCCCGGGGTGCCCTTGCGGACAGCCTTCCTGGAGGGTGCCGTGATGGCCGGGTTTGCAGCCGTCAACCCAGCCGGCGTTTGGCTAACAGTGGAGGACAAGCCAGGCGCCCGGTGCAACTGCCGGCACTTTTTGCTCTCTACTAGGGGACGCTGGAGGAGGGCTGGTGGCTTCACTGCCGCTCGAACAGCTGTGTGTGCCTTGGGGCACCCATCCCTAAATGGGAACATAGTGAATCTGGGCTTGGAGGACACACACGTCAGTCCGTCCCACGCTCGACTCCTGCGGTATAGCTTGCAGAAGTGTGGGGAGAGGAACAGGCTGCCCGTCTCCTGTTTGGGTCAGCTGCCTGTGGGTTCCCATTAGGGTCTGGTCGCCAGTTTTCCAAAATCCAGCCCAGCGGTGGTTCTTGGATACCCCGAACCAGCTGGGCCCTTGGAAGCGTGTCTCAGAACAGCCCCCGCTGGCGCCGCGGGGGCAGCGGCCTCGTGAGCCGGCGTTCGTCCCCGCCGTCTTACTGTGTCCAGATCTGATAATAGCTAATTCCGCCAAATATTAGAGGGGCTCACATTTAATTAAGGAGTGGCCATTTGTATGCTCCAGGCTGGAGGTCCCCACTGCCCTGAAGTCAAAGGAAGAGTCCTTCGGGGAATATGCCAATCTTCTCCTGTGTCTCAGCTGAGCTCCCGCTCTCCGCGAATGCAATTACGGGAACAAATAACACGGCTTAACCCAGCTCCCCTGCGACACAGCCGCTCTCTGCTGATAAAACCAGTTGTGTGGGCAATCATTAAATGAGAGACCTAATATTTAACTAAATTTGATAGTCGGCTGCTTTGGTGCTTTCCTGCGTAGGGTGGGATTTCAGTGGAGAGGAGAGAGCGATTCAAATGCCGCCCGTGTAGTCAGCGAGCCATTAGGACACCGTGCGTGCGCCCACGTGGAGCCAGAACCCGGGGATCCGGGAACCGGTAACGGGTGTGTGGTGGCAGTTCCGTGTCCTCACGCACTGTCAGCAAGCGTCACCCTGTAGGCAGCAAAGCAACACTGCAGCCGAGTCTGAACTTGGTCCTTGGTGAGCATCATCTGAGGTTGCACAGTGATGCCGGAAATGTCAAATTCAAGTGCACACATGTAGAGATGTGAGCCGATTTTATCTGTGAGAGGCTCTGTCCCAACTCTCTTTTCATTTTGAAGTTTCCTAGTCCAGATCCGGCCTCGCCCCAGCAAACCCCGCCCCCCAGCTGGAGCCCGTAGCAATAGCCCCATCGCCATTATTGCCGTCAAGGCCTCTGCCCCCGCTAATCCACTGGTTGTCCTGAGTTCCCACATTCGCAAACCCCAAGTCCCTCACCTGCTCCCTCCCCACCTGCGCTGGTCACAGGGCAGGCAGAGTGTGAAGGTCGCAGGTTCTCGAGGGTTACCTTGTGAGATCCGTGCTCTGGTCTCCTACAGTAAACTCCGCTTGGGGTAATATCGATGAAACTGCCTCCTGATCCCAGCATCAATTGAATTACCTTATGTAGATCATTAGTCTTTTAAGCACCAGAAACTTCAGTTGACTTAATGAGTGTTTGATTTGGTTTTGTTTTGTTCTGGTTTGACATGGGGAGCAGTGGTCGATAGTCAGGCCTGATTTCCTCAACTCTTCCCACTCAAGATCTTGGTCTGAACCCCGGGGACCTTCCGAGAGCCCCTGGGGCTTCCTGGGACACCTAGAAGGACCTCTCAGTCCTGTTGAGTTTCCTCGAGACCTTTTTGGGGCTATGGCAAAAGAGCCACGTGGGAACAGGGAGAGAGACTTGGGTCAAACATAGACTCAGTTACTATCAAAAATTGCTTTATTTCCCTGGTATGAGTTGTATTCTGCACAGATCTACCCAGGTTACTGGGAACTAGTGAATTCTGTACCCAGGATGGGACTAAACATTAATGCCTTAGGGGAAGGGTAGGAAATGCAGCCAGGAAAATGACCAAAACTCTTACATTTGGTGTTAAGCGTATCCAGAGAGCTAGAGGGGTGCCTGAGATAGGATGGCCAAGGCTTCTCTTTGAGAGGCGACACTCGACTTGATGGAGGAGAGGGAGCCAACAAGGCAGGTTTCGATTATGGGGAGGAGCAAGTGCAAAGGCCCTGGGGCAGCAAAGACCTTGGAAGATGCTGTTCTTTGCATTATCCTGCAGCTCTCCCTGCTGGTCTTCCCACCCTGTGCATGTGATCGCTAGCTACTACGGCATAAACCAACTCCTCTCCCCTGACTGCGTCTGGAGCAGCATGTTAAAGGGCGGAGGGCATTTGGACCCAGCAGAAATCTGCCCTCTCTGATCCCTTAGGAATGTGGCCACGGGTGAAGCAGACAGTGGGGTGTGCAGGCCCCAGGCGAAGAGCCCCTCCCAACTCGCACTGGGGACTCCAAGGCAGAGCGCGCCGTCGCTGGGCCAAGCCTCTGGGTCTCCGAGTTGAGGTCCAGTCCAACTTCACTTCCCTTGGATTCGACCTCCACACGCACCCCTGCAGGCACAGCCGCCCTGTCCAGCCGTGTACGAAACCATTCCTTGCGTGCTGCACGGTGTCCAGAGTCTTGTGCAGTGGTGGTCCAACTTCGGATATTTAAAAATTCTGCCCATTTGGAAAAAAAAACAGTTTCGCCATTTCTCCCCTTACGTTTCGTCAAAGCTAGATATTCAAATATGTGTCCAGCAGCTCGTAAATCACTGTTCGTTTTGTTTGCTCGTCCCGAGCACCAAGAACTGCCAGTGACGCCTGTCCTCTCGCCAGCCCCGCCCAGCGGCAGCGCTAGGGCCTTGAACGCTGAACGCTGCCCCGCACATAAAGCCTCTCGCTGCTGAGGTCTCCTGGTTACAAGCAGTGACGGTGACTCAGCCCGGGGCTGCCTGGAGAAGCACACGCCCGTGGGGAAGCTTCTTTCTGAAGGGGCGTATGGGAGGAAGGCGTGACATTGGCTGTATCGTCCTTTGTGACATTACTTTATTCTTTAAAACAGTCACCCATTGCAGCTGTTCAGAGTGAGCTGGTGAGCCAAAGGTAGGGTTCCTTGAAGATGGAGTCTCCTTTCCTGATGAACCCCAAGTCGTCGCACATGTAGGCTTAGGAGAGCGGGGGAAAGGAGGCCAGGTGGTTTTATTCCACATCGGACGGTGAAACAAGGCAGGTGGCTGTGGAGGGGGCTCAGGGGGGCTCCTTGCGGCCGGAGGGACCTGCAGGGAGGCGCCAGTGCCAGGTGCAGCCTGTGGAGTGGGGACCTGGAGCGTCACAGCCACAGGTGCAGAATCAACCTCGGTCTCCCCACTCGGGGGAGAACGGCCAGTCCCCCCGCACCCTAAAGTGTGGGCCCACATGACCTTGTCAGCAAATAGTTCTCCAAATCAAAGCCCCCAAAGACCAGATGATCTTATGTTTAAGGTAAGAGATCTGAATCATTTTTTCTGGGAAAATTTAATAAAGGTGACGCTCCAGTTTCTACTCTCCTTTCCTGTCCTTCTCGTGTTGTGATGGCCATAATATTTGGAAAAGCACTTGTCTAAAAAATACAAAGTGTTGATTTCCCTAAAACCAGCAGTCTTACTCTGGGAGGTCGAGGCGGGCGGATCGCTGGTTTTGAACTCCTGACTTGAGGTCAGGAGTTCAAAACCAGCCTGAGCAAGAGCGAGACCCTGTCTCTACTATAAATAGAAAGAAATTAATTGGCCAACTAATATATATATAGAAAAAATTAGCCGGGCATGGTGGCGAATGCCTGTAGTCCCAGCTACTCGGGAGGCTGAGGCAGGAGGATTGCTTGAGCCCAGGAGTTTGAGGTTGCTGTGAGCTAGGCTGACGCCACGGCACTCGCTCTAGCCTGGGCAACAGAGTGAGACTCTGTCTCAAAAAAAAAAAAGAAAACCAGCCGTCTTGGGCCGAATCGTCCCGAAACCCGTGCACGTTGGAGAGAAGCGCCATGGAGCACAAGGCTCCGTGGGGAGAGGACACCTGGCTGGCGGGGAGAGTCTGCCCGGGCTCCCGGTGGACACCAGCTTGTCACCACGCTACTGGGCAGCCTCTTCAACGCCCGGGTTTCCTGGTCTGTGCGGCAGCCGCAGGAGCAGTCGCCCCAGAGCTGCCGTGCGGGCAGTGCATGGAAACCCGCGGCAGTGGTCGCCGAATCTCGGCGTGTCCCGTTTTCTCTCTTTCAGAGATGTTTGACCTGGAAACGAACGAGCACGTGCAGAAGGCCGTAAGTGACCGGCAGATGCCCAGAGTGGAATACAGGAAGATCGAGGTGGATGATTACAGTAAGTGCTGCCTACTACTTCCCCCTTTAAAAAGAAAACCAAACTCCCGCTGGGAGCCGGCCCTGGCGTCGGCGGCGGGACGCTGTGCGCGGAGGCCCCGGCCCCACGCGGCAGCCTCTTTGCCTGGCCGCTCCTCCCGCTCCGAGCTCCTCATGCTCAGGACCAAGATACTGTGGTGACAACGTAAAATAGGCGGAGCGTGGCGTTTCTCTCCCTGAGAAGCTGACACTTCACTAAGCTCCCAGACGGAACCTTCTCCTTCCTCAGTGAACCGTCGTGGCACGGCCCTCCCCCTTCCGGAAATCCCTGTCCTGCCCCACCTGGCACCGTGCCGTGTCATCGGCTCCCCCTGCATGTCGCTCACGGCTGGTGCGGGGCCATCCTCGCCACCGGAGGTTATGGGATTCCGGATCTGCGTGCCGCGGCAGCCTAAGTAAGAGACGTTCGTCACTCGCCGCCTTCGCCTCTGCCCGCCTGTCTCTTGAAGTGTCCGTTCAGCCACGCCGAGGGTTTCTCTGGGCACGGACTCTGTGCCAGGCGTGGATAGGCACCAAGTCCCAGCGTGGCGACCGGGCCGGACGCACGTCTCCAGGAGGAGGCAGGTCCCCACAGCCCCACTCACCACCGTGCAGATATCATTACCATCTTCTCCCCAGAACTCTGTCGCCCTCTGGACGTCCCTACATTTATGCACCTTTCCATTCGTGGTGTCAGGGGACCCAGACTTCACCCCTCCAAATTGACTCTCAGCTGCTTGTCCAGACCCCACCCCCCATGGTCCCCGGGGGTGTGAGCGGCCGTCCCCGCCCGCGTGGACTCCCAATGACAGCAACTGCCGGTGCGGAAGAGGAGGGAAGGTTGCGGGGCTCACGGGGAAAGAGCGTGGAGACGGAGAGACGATGCCCGCGAGGAAGGGGTGGGGAGGCAGCGCCTCTCCCGCTGGGGTCTCCGGCCCCGCGCCGTCTCTGGAAGCTTTGTCTGCCCTGTCGCCCGGGTCTCGGGCCTGGGCGTTGGCCAGCACCCCAGTGCTCAGCAGCTGAGCGAAGACACAGCCGGACGCCCCGTGAGCTCCCACGAGCAGGAGCCGAGACTCGCCCGCCAGGCGAAGCGCGTGCCCAGCCAGTGGCGTGCGGCCGCCGCCCGAGGCGCACTCGCCAACAGCAAATGCGGCTCCGGGAGGAGGGCCAAGGCTGTGCGGGAAGGTTGCACGGGCCGTGGGACTGGAACAGGGTCCCTGGTTGGACAGGGTCGCTTTATGTTGGCAGAGGAGAGGAGAGAGTGGGGTCAGAGGCAGCGTGAGGGGCTCAGACCGGGGCGAGCGAGATCCACCGTGGAGGGTCGGGAGGCAGCCCTGGAGCCCCAGCCTTCGGGGAGCGGGGGGGCGAGCCTGCAGAGGGACCTTCGCCCCCTCCCACCCCCACACTCACCACGCCGCCCTGTCCCTGCAGCCACCGCGGCTCCTCGCGGAAACCTCCTGGCCCCACCCTGTGGCCACCGGCGGTCGCTCTCTGCCAGGACTTTTCCAGACACTGCCAGGACACCTGCATTTCCCTGCTGTCCTGCGGGGCTGTTCGTTCACCCCCGAAGGTCGGGGAAGCCGGGACAGGATGTGTTTCCAATCCCAGCCCGCACAAGCCCAGAGGCTTTCTCTTTTAAACCCCCAAACGGTCTGCTCTGGGGATGAGGGGAAGGAAATGAACAGGGAGGGGCCGGAGGCGGAGAAGAATTGAACCCAGGACAGCCATGAGCCAAGGACATGACAGTCTGCTTTTGCCACCCAGCCCGCCGCCCTGCGTCCCTGAACCTCCCCCAGGTGCCGTCACATCACGGCTCCTCCTCGGGGGCCAGGCCTCGCCTGCAAGACGACAGGATGCCCTTCTGAGCCCTGGCCGCCTCCCTGCCCAGTGGCTCACCCCCAAGTCCCGCAGCGCTGGCGCACCTGTGGCATGCCCCCCCCCCACCGCAGAAAAGGCCTTCGGCAGCTAATAGCCAACCCCCCAGCCCCACCCACCTCCGTCAGCACAGCCGCCAGCACTGGGGCTGCTGTCCCAGGGCCACCCCTTTGGGATCACAGAAAATCTGAAGGACGTCAGCCCCACCGACCTGGTTTTGTTTTGGTTTTTCCTTTTTCCCGCTACCAGTGGCTAAAGATATTTTTTGGAAAAGTAACAAGTCTTCAAGACGGGCTCCCTGAAATGCCTTCAGCCGGTCAGAACTGGTTCCCAGGGCTGCCCTGGGCTTGTCCCTGGTACGTCTGGGGTTGTGCGAGTGGTGGGGTCCACGGCCTGCCCAGCCACTGATCCAGTTTGCCAGCCAGTAGCATTCTGCCCGAGTCCCGGTCAGACCCGCCACAGCGGGCCAGGTGTGTCTGTAGGGCGATCGTGTTGAAAAGCCCCTACTTCCAATTCAATTGCTGGCCCTCGGTCATCTGGGTTGTAGGGAAGGTCAATAACAGATTCTGACGGGGCAGGAAGGACGTGGGGGGCAGAAGCAACTGGCCGGGCTATTTCTGAGGCTTGGTTCTTGCTCCTCCTCCTCCCCCATGACCTTGACAAAGGAATGACCGGGCTGCACCAGCCCCTCCCGCGTCCCCTGGCCGAGGCCCCAGCAGGGTCCGAGCTGCCCAGCACACACCTGCAGACGGGGAGGGCAGAGCAGAGCCCCATGGCCCCGCCTCTCCCTCTCTTCCTCTCCCCGTCCCAACCAACACCATCCCCAGCGGCATCCTGGACAGATGTGGCAGCCAGTCTGGCGTCCCCGGGTTCCATGTCTCCTGCCTGGATTCCTGCTGCCAGCAAGCGCTCCTGCCTTCTAGACGTTTCTGTTTCTGTTTTCCAATGCACTCGCATATGCAAGGTGGAACTTGGGCTTCGACTGCACGCTGTACTCAGGGTGACTTGCCCAAGGCCACATAGCAAGCCAGGGTCACCGAGGTGGAATCCAGGCCTGCCTGGGTCTGCGGGCTCCCCCCCCCCCGCCCCGCGCCGGGCCGGGCCGGTTGAGTTCGCCGGCCGGGTCCGGAGGGCTCAGAGACACCTCAGACTCTTGCTACCCAAAGTGCAAAGGGCATCAGTTGCTCCTCCACCCCCCCCCCCCCCCCTCCCCAGCCCCCTTCACCCCGCAGTCCCCCGTGGGCACTCCTGACTGCGCGGGGACCACCCCTTCCGCCCCGTCTTGTCCGAGTTGCCCCCTAACCTGCTGCTGTGTTCGGCTTCCCCCTAGACCTGCCCGTGCAGATCCTGAAGCCAGCGACCTTCACCGACACCACCCACTACCCCCTGCTCCTGGTGGTGTGAGTATCCTGCGTCGCCTGCTCTCTCGGGCTCGCTGTGGGGCCCGGTGGCACCCTGAATATCGGTCTCTTAAGAAAGGGCAGGTGGGAGAAATGCTATCGTTGCAAACTCAAAGCTCAAGACAGTCTAGCCCATCGGTAGATGTCAGGTTCCTATCGTGAGTGGCTCTTGGAGACCCCCGAGGTCAGAGGAAAGGGAGTGCGCTGCAGCCCCCTCCGGTCTGACCAGGGCGGCCTGCTACCATGGCGAGGCACTCGGATCACCTGCTGTGGCCGGCAGGTGGGTTCAGACACAGTCCCGAAAGCTGATGGAGGTCAGATGGCCCCTTGCGTGCCAGGCCCACCCTGAGGCAGGTGGGGACGGTCCCAAGACACAGAGACATGGGGTGGCTGACCTGGGACCCCACACGCCTCACAGCGTCCGACCTGGACAGGAGCCTGACCGAGTTTCCAGCTACTGCCCCGGATGCCATTTCTTTGCCAATAAAGAATTATTTCTGGCCTGGCGCGGTGGCTCACACCTGTAATCCTAGCTCTCTGGGAGGCCAAGGCGGGCGGATTGCTCGAGGTCAGGAGTTTGAAACCAGCCTGAGCAAGAGCGAGACCCCGTCTCTACTATAAATAGAAAGAAATTCATTGGCCAACTAATATATAGAGAAAAAATTAGCCGGGTGTGGTGGCGCATGCCTGTAGTCCCAGCTACTTGGGAGGCCGAGGCAGGAGGATCGCTTGAGCCCAGGAGTTTGAGGTTGCTGTGAGCTAGGCTGACACCACGGCACTCACTCTAGCCTGGGCAACAAAGTGAGACTCTGTCTCAAACAAAAAAAAAAAAAAAGGATTATTTCTGCTGTTCCTTATGTTAATCCACAAGCCCTCTGGTTCAGATCCGAGAACAGCTTCGTAAGTGCTGTGTCAACACGCTGAGGGTGCTGAGTCTGATTAGGGAACTTCGCCTGCTGGAGCCTGGCTGTGCCCTCTCCAAGGTCCCCCAAATGCCGCCCAGTAGCCTGAGCGTGGAGGAGGTTCCACTTGTGCTCACACAGACGTGGGGGCATCTCAGACAGGGCACCACCCAGACAACGGAGCCAATGTCCTTATTCACCTCCCGGGCTGTCATCTCGAGACCACGAGGCAGGAGGACCTCAGCCCCGCAGGGCCAGTCTGCCCGGACCTTCCTGCAAGGGTCGGGCTGCAGCAGAGGCTGCACTGGGGCGTGTGAGGGACAGCAGGGCGGGGACCCTGGGTGAGGCCAGTCACTCACGGAGCTCTGATTAGCACCGATGGCCTTGCCCTGCTGCCTCCTGAGGGCTGGGTCCCTAAGTAGCAAAAGCCTTCATTATAAAGAGGCCCCGGGCACAGACTCTAATATCTGATTCCATTTGGCAATTAACCCAGTTACCTCGATATCTGGACGGGCTTAACGCTTTATCAGCAACCACACACACACGGACACACGTGAGCACACAGACTCCCACGTCCCCTCCGCACGCACAAGCACCTACACACACATGCACACACCCACACCCACGCCCTCACACACACGTTTCGCACCCTGCCTCCCTCCCCCCTGCTAACCCAGATCTTCACCGCCTCCTCAAAGGTGCTAATGATTTCAAACCAGCCTTTCCCCACTGTACGCTGGTTTCCTCGGCAATCTGAACAGGAGTCTCCAAAGGCTTCTCCGTTTACAAAGAGACTCACTTGCCGTTCAGAGGTGAGAGTGGAAGGTCCGTGTCAAGGTGACCTGGGCCATCCCGGGTCAGGCAGGGCCTGCAGGGACCACCCCGTGTGCCACTTACTGCTCTGCATGCACTTCAGATGTGACAGCAGGGGGATTTGGAGACCCCAGACTCCAAAGGAACTATACCAGGCGGCACCTGCTTCAAACAACAACACAAATTCAAAAAAACCCAAGCACATGCTTGACACAGAGCAACGTCATGACGTGAGCAGGCTCCTTAAACACATAGCCCCAAATGCACCACTCGGCTGTCTTCCTCCTCCTGCCCTGCACCCCCACCTCCCTGTCTGTACCCCACACCTGCCTCCACCCCACACCTGCCTCCACTCCACACCTGCCTCCACCCCACACCTCCCTCCACCCCACACCTCCCTGCCTGCACCCTCACCTCCCTGCCTACACCCCATACCTCCTGCCCTGTACCCCACACCTCCCTGCCTATACCCCACACCTCCCTGCCTGTACCCCACCTCCCTGCCTGTACCCCCACACCTCCCTGCCTGTACCCCACACCTCCCTGCCTGTACCTTCACCTCCTTGCCTGCACCCACACTTCCCTGCCTGTACCCCATACCTCCCTGCCTGCACCCCACACCTCCTGCCCTGCACCCCACACCTCCCTGCCTGCAACTTCACCTCCCTCCACCCCACACCTCCCTGCCTGCACCCTCACCTCCCTGCCTACACCCCACACCTCCTGCCCTGCACCCCACACCTCCCTGCTTACACCCACACCTCCCTGCCTGCACCCTCACCTCCCTGCCTACACCCCATACCTCCTGCCCTGCACCCCACACCTCCTGGCCTGTACCCCACACCTCCCACCCTGCACCCCACACCTCTCACCTACACTCCACACCTCCTTGTCTGCATCCCACACCTCCTGCTTACAACCCACACGTCCTACCTGTGCCCCACACCTCCCCACATTCCCTGAGGCCTTGGCAGAAAGCCTCAGTGGCGGGTAGTTGGAGCTGTCATCTCCCTGGAGAAGAAGGTCCACTCTCAGAGGGGCGCTGCTATCTGTGGCGGTTCCTGGGAGACAGGCTGGGCCTGGCACTGGCTTTTTCCCCTGTTCATTCTTTTCCACCCAAAGGATAAATCATTTAAAAACCTCCCAGATACACAGTAGTGTGCTGGTACATGCTTAAAGGACCAGTTCCCGAGTCGAAAATAATCACTGTTCGTAGCGATGGCCCGTGCCCATGGTGTAAATGCTCCCCCAGGCCCTGCAGGAGCAGCGGGACGGGATGGGCAGGCGGCTCCCCCAGCCCAGAGCTCCGAGCCTACAGCTGCCCAGGAGGGACGAGGGAGGCAGGGAGGGGGCCGCCCCTGGCAGCGGGTGTGCGGTTTCTGCTTAGACGAAAGGGAGACCGTGTCTTCCAAGCAGGGCTGCACTAAAGAGTGAACACGTCTCGTCACCTGCGTGGTGGGTGCTGAGGGCGGCCGAGGAACCTGGGACAGGAAGGGCAGCACAGTCCCGACAGAGGGAAGCTCCCAGAAGGAGAAGCCGGAAGGGTTTATTGCTCCCCTCACCCACGGGCTGGGCGAACGCAGCCCCGGGCAACAGAACCGGGGTGTAGGGCGTAGGGTCGGGGTGAAGGAGAGGCCCTTAGGAGAGAGTCGCCACCGTGGCCCTGGTGCCGGCGAGCTGAGGCCGGGCCTGTCTTCCCAGGGACGGCGCCCCGGGCAGCCAGAGCGTGGCCGAGCGGTTCGAGGTGAGCTGGGAGACGGCGCTGGTGAGCACCCAGGAGGCCGTGCTGGTGAGGTGCGACGGCCGCGGCAGCGGCTTCCAGGGGACCAAGCTCCTGCAGGAAGTGAGGCGGCGGCTGGGCTCCCTGGAGGAGAAGGACCAGACGGAGGCCGTGCGGTGAGCGCCGGGCGCGGGGGAGGGCGGGAGGGCGGGTGCTCTCTGTGTCTGCCCACGGTGGGGACAGACTCCTCGGGGCACCGTTAGGAATCTTCGCCCACACACGGTGTCTCGGCTGGATTCCCGCTGGGTTGGTTGGAACGGGCCAGAGGCAGCGACCGTGGGCCGCGTGTGCCCAGCTGTGCGTGCGGGTCCCTGGCGTGGCCGGTGTCCACGCACACGCCTGCCCGTCCTCAAGAGGAGGAGCGCAGTGGGGGGTGGGGAGACAGCCCGTGCAGGTGCCCCGCCCTCGTCACCGGGAAGAGGCGCCCGCGCACCTGCAGCCGTGGGTCCGCAGTGCCCTGCCCCATCCTCGCCATTCCTCCACGTGCCTGCCGCTGCGTCAGCGAGACCCGCCGGTGCCACAGAGCACAGAACGCGGCCTAGCGCCGAGGGCAGGCGCTCAGAGTTCCTCACTGAGTGTCACTGCACTGGGAATAAAACAGACAGGGAGCACCTGCGCCAGGCTGCCTGGTCCCCAGCCTGGTCTGTAGAGAGAAGTGCGGTGTTCACGGTGCTGGGGCACAGAGGGCGCAGCGCTGAACCCGACCTCACCCCGAGAGACGTTGCAGGAACAGTCAGCCCAACTCAGGTCCCTGGGAGGACGAGAAGGGCAGGGAACGGGCTCCCTTGGTGTCGGCGGCCGGCCTCGTCCTTGTCACGGTCGGGTGCACGGCCCTGGGCACGTGCGGGGCGGAGGCGTCTGCCCACGGCGGGACCCTACAAGAGCTTGGCTCCTCCGCACGTGCTGCCGTGCCAGTGTGCTCTGCAGGTTTAAACGACTTCACTGACTTTCCAAAACATTTTCTCTCTTCCAATTGATGGCACACGCTGTGCACTCGGTAAATGACTTCTATATGGACGGACCAGCGAGAGAGCGAGCGAGCGAGCGAGCGGCACCTCTCCTCCTCCGGGGGCCGCGAGCTCGTGGGGAGAGGCAACGCGCCGTCTTCAGAGCCCGCGTGTCACAGACGGAACACGCAGAGGAGAAACCTGTAAGGCTCTGAGCCAGGGAAGGTGCGTCCGCCCGGAGGCAGCACCCCACTCACACAGTCGCACGGGTGCTTCAAAAACAAGGACCTGCGGAGCCCACAGGGACGGCAGGCCTCAGGGTTGACTGGCCCAGAGACCGGCGGTCACCAAAGGCTCAGCCGCTCCGGCGCTCTGCCTGCCGGGCCACGCTGGCCTTGCCCTACGGGCTCTGCTCTGCCCACAGGGTGGCTGTCAGCACCTGGCTCCATGCTGTTTGCTCGCCCCCGCAGGCTGGGGAGGGAGCTTCCCCCAGGAACTTTCGGAAAGGGAGGGAGGAGTCTCCCCAGAAGCAGCGGCAAAGCTCTCCCGGCACCTCCCTCACCCTCCCCTGCCCATCCCAGAGCACGCAACCCAGGACCCAGCCGGGCAAGAGAAGTACAGGGTCACCCTGCAACAGAGGGGCCCGCCTGACCCCAGTGGGGGTCAGCCTCCTGCTCAGAGGACACAAGGGTGACAAGTGACCGCTTGGGCTAAGTGTGGAAGGAGGGAGGGCAGGTGGCCGCCAGGTCAGCCGGGGCCAGCTGCATGGGACCCCAGGAGGAGGAGGAAGGTGGCCTCAGGCCACGCCGTGCAGCGTGTGAGGCTGTCCTCCTTGTCCCCCTGTTTGTGGCTTTCTCCTGCCTCCCCCGCCCCGCCCCGGCCCGCCTGGTCTGCGTCCTGACGCTCACGGTCCACTGCCACCGGGGCCCAGGTGGGAGGTCACAGCATCCTTGAGGCTCACCTGCGGCACTTGGCTCCATCCGGCATGTCCTCAGAGCACAGGACGAGAGGGCAAAGGCTGCTCACACTCACGCCGTTTTCAGCCCGGCCACCTGCTCAAAGCCAAGGCAGAAGCTGTCCTGGGAAACCAGTCAACAGTGGCAGCTCGTACGCCGCCCACGCCACGGGAGCGGGGCAGTGGCAGGCCGCGGCCACCACCGAGCTGCAGGCTCCCGCGGAGCCGGACCCAGCGCTGCGGCCACAGAAAGCGCAGCCGGGTCTTCCGGCGCCGGCCCGCGTTTCCACGTAGCGCCGTGTTACCTGAAGTTGGTGGTCGTGAGGCCAGCCGCTGCAAGCCGCCCGCAGCCCCCAGGCGGGCCGAGGCTCTCCCTCTGCCTCCACGCGGCCCTCTGTCGCCGAGCACACTCGCGCCCTTCCCACCTGCACCCGCGACGAGCAAGTCCCCGCGCGGGGAGGACAGCCGTGTAGACCCACACGCAGTCACGGGCCGGGCTGCGCCGCCCCGGAGCACGTGCTGCAGGGACCAGCAGCCTCCCGGCCTCTGGGCGGAGCCGCCTTGGGCAGGACCTGGAGGGTGAATGGGATCCGCCAGGTGGGGCACGGGAGGGGCCGGCCCAGAGGGAGAACGTGCTGAGCAGGCGTCTGGGGCTGGTGCCGCGGCCCGGCCCGTGTGCCTCCACGGAGAGGCTCGGTGCAGTGGGGCGGGGAGGGCCGGGAGAGCGGCCCTCCTCTGCCTCACCCTGCCCCCTCTGGTCCCCCCTCCCCTCACCCTGCCCTCCCTGCTCCCCCTCCTCTGCCTCACCCCTGCCCTCCCTGCTCCCCCTCCTCTGCCTCACCCTGCCCCTCTCTGGTCCCCCCTTTCCCCTCACCCCTCCCCCTCCCTGGTCCCCCCTCACCTCCTCACCCTGCCCTCCTGCTCCCCTTCCTCTGCCTCACCCCTCCCTCCTGTCCCCTCCTCTTCACCCTTGGCCCTCTCTGGTTCCTCAGGTTTCCCTTCACCCCTGCCTCTTGGGTCCCTCTCCCCTCACTCCTCACCCTGCCCCCCCCCCTCCTGCTCCCTTCTCTGGCCTCACCTGCCCTCCCTGGGCCCTCTCCTCTGCCTCACCCTGCCACCCCCTGGTCTTCCCTCTCCCCTCACCCCTGCCCCTCCCTGGTCCCCCCTCACCCCTGCCCCTCCCTGGTCTCCCTTCTCTGCCCTCACCCCTCCCCTCCCTGGTCCCCCTCCTCTCTCCTCACATCTTCTCCTACCTGGTCCCCCTCTCCCCTCACCCCTCCCCTTCCTGGTACCCCTCCTCTGCCCTCAACCCTGTCCCTCCCTGGTCCCCCCACTCCCCTCACCTCTGCCCCTCCCTGGGCCCCTCCTAGGCCCTCACCCATGCCTCTCTCTGGTCCCCCTCTGCCCTCACCCCTGCCCCTCCCTGGGCCCCTCCTCTGTCACCCTTGGCCCCTCCCTGCTCCCCCTCTCGCCTAGCCCCTGCCCTCCCTGCGTCCCCCTCTCCCCTCACCCTGCCCCCTCCTGGTCCCCCTCCTCTTCCTCACCCTGCCCCTCCCTCCGTCCCCCTCCTTCGTCTCTCACTTCCCCTGGTATCCCTCCTCTCCCTCACCTCTGCCCTTCCCTGGTCCCCGTCCCTCCCCTCCCATTGCCCCTCCCTTCCCTCCTCTCTCCTCACCCTGCCCTCCCTAGCGTCCCCCCTCTCCCCTCACCCCTGCACCTCCTTGGTCCCCCTCTTCTCTCCTCACCTCTTTTCCTCCCTGGTCCCCCTCCTCTCCCCTCACCTTTGCCCCTCCCTGGTCCCCCTCCTCTCCCCTCACCCCTCCCCCTCCCTGATCTCCCCTCTCCCCTCACCCTTGCCCCTCCCTGGTCCCCTTCTTCTGCCTCACCCCTGTCCCTCCCTGGTCCCCCTCCTCTCCTCTCACCCCTGCCCCTCCCTGGTCCCCCCTCTTCCCTCATCCTTGCCCCTCCCTGGTCCCCTTCCTCTGCCTCACCCCTGCCCCTCCCTGGTCCCCCTCCTCTGCCCTCACCCTGCCCCTCCCTGGTCCCCCTCCTCTCCCCTCACCCCTGCCCCTCCCTGGTCCTCCCTCCAGGGGAAGGGAGAGTGGGTAGGACCAGGGAGGGGCAGGGTGAGGGGAGAGGGAGGGATGGGGTCAGGGTGAGACACTTCCCCTATCACCCCAAGAGTTCCTGCCATCCTGCAGGCATCAGAGGACCAGGAGATGTTTCTGGAAGTGGGAGGGCAAGGTCAGCCTTATCTTACAGACCCTAGTTCTGGTGGTGGTGCAGTGAGGTTTGAGAGTCACAGTCCTAGCAGAAAACACTCAAACCGTATAATTTGAGGAGAGATGGCAAAGTGTACATTTACAAAGGTGTGAGCAAGGTTGGGGACCCGCAGGGGTTTGCGTGGTGTCCTCCGGCCAGTGACAGCCGGGAGTAGGGAAGATCACCAGGACCTGAGGAGGGAGGCCCTGTGGGCAGGAGCCAGTGCCAGGTTCCAGCCTCCCTCCTGGGCCTCCCCTGGCTCCCATGGGCGCACCCAGCCATCAGCCCAAGAGCCGGAGCCTCTGGCCGCTCATGAAGCCACACCAAGAGGCTCGGCATCGTGGACACACCAAGAGGCTCGGCATCGTAGACACACCAAGAGCTACCTGAGGGGGGCGAGAAGGAGCCAGCCACGTGCACCCAGGGAAAGGGCGGCCAGAGGAAGAGGAACGGGCCCCGAGCAAGCGCCAGGCGGCTGGATGCCGTGGCCGTGGCCGCAAGGCTGCTGCCAGCTGCTCGGAGGTGGGACCATTGGCCCATCTGCTGCAAAGGTCCGGAGGGGTCACAGCACTTGTCCAGCATCCTCAGTGGGCACGCAGCTTGGCCAGCGTGGGGACACGGACAAGGTCAGCCCAAAGCGACCGTCCGGCATGATGGCAGTGGCCGGCCAGCAGCAGCAGTAGCCCTGGAGGGTGGTGGCGGGAGGGGCATCTCGAGACCAGCAGGGAGGTGGAGAGTTGGGCCACGTGGAGGCTTCTGCCCTGGGGAGCCGGGCAGGACAGTGACAGCAACAGCGACTTTTTATAGCGCCTGGCTGTGCCCTCTCCCCGCCAGCAGGGCAGACGTGGGGATCACGTTTCTCTCACTGCCCCATTTCTTGTGAGTGGAGCCCAACAGCTGTGAGGCTCCCCCCTCTGAAGGTGCTGGAAGCCGCCGCCTTGTCCGGGACGCCTGCGTCAGCTTGGGCCCCCGAGAGGCGGATGCCGAGGCGGAGGGAGGCACGCAGGGGGGAAGGATCCGTGTGGCTAGCGTGGGCACAGCAGTGGGGGCGAGAGCAGGCACCTGCCGTGGGGCCTGGCCGCAGCGGGAGGACAGACGTGGAAGGAGAGCCCAAGTCTCCACCAGGCCGGTGGAGCGCACAGACCAGCGCCCCCTGGGGACTCCGTGTCAGGTGGACGTGGCCCGGCCTTCGGGTCCCTGCCCGGCCACCCCACTGCCTGGGTGGTGCAAGCTTGGCCCGGCAGGGACGCGGCGGTGGGTGCGCCAGCCAGCTGCAGCCCCGAAGCAGGTTCTCTTGGAGGGAGAGGTGGGGGCGCCGCAGCATGCAGAAGCGCACTGTGTCCTCCCCCAGGTAGGCCCGTGTGGCCCCAGACACTCCACACTCACTGGCGTCCCCATTGTCCCAGGTCTTCTCCACGGCCTCCCTTCTCCACGCTTCTCACCCATCCCAGCCCAGCTCCGGGCGAGTGCCTCTGTCCCTGCTGCGTCCCCACTGCTCAGCAGCGGCTGTCTGGGGACGCACTGAACGGACAGCCCCCATTGGCAGTAATCGTGGCCGCCGCTGGCTCACGGGTCACCCTGCCGCCCACAGCCGGCACCCTTCCTGAGGCCTGGAGCGGGGTGCCTTTCCAGGTCCTTCCTCCGGCCCCTCCGCAGCCCTGCCTGGAACTGAGCTCGGGACACACGTGAGGAAGAAGATGCCCCGGCCATTCTGGTCCGGCTCCTGCTGTGCCTCAGGCCATCCCCAATAATGGGAAGTGGCCGTGACCTGAGTGGGACCTTGGGGGTCCACTGGGAAAAACTCGTCCCACAGGATCTGCCCGATTAGTGCAAATACAGCCACAAATAAAATATTTGATCTTAGAAAAGTCAACTGTCCCTGGGAGACTCCAGATTACCCTCCAAATGCAGATCGTCAGTGAGATTTATGGTGTTCAGACCAGAAAGTGAGAGTCGCCGGTAACTAGATGAAGAGGTTGCCAACGACCGAGGCCGCCTGCTGACTTCACGGCAGGGCTGAGAATAAAAACACGAGGAGTTTCACAGTTTGGAACTGAGTCCAAGGCCCTTCCCCGCGCACCTGGCCCACTCCAAGCCCCACGGTCTCAGGGCCCTTGCGTAGATCACCCAGCAAGTGACGTGTGGACGTCTGGCCGGGCCACGGGGTGGAGTCTTCATGGCATCAGGTAGATGGATCTTGAAAAGAGCTGGCAGAGCCAGAGCCGTCCAGACAGTGGCCCCCGTCGGACTTCGGCCAGGGATTAGAGCCCTGAGGGGAAAACTCAGGAACGTGGAGAAACGTGTTCGCTGTTGTTTCCACATACGTGGACATGCTCGCCGTGTCCGCAGCCGGGGCTCCTAGGGGGTGTGCGTGTGCACGTGCCCCCACGTCCCGAGCCTGGTGGGCGTCATTTAAAGGCTTCCAGGCTATTCCATGATGCTGCACAATGTTTTTAACAAGCAGAAGTATTAGTTCTCTGGCAGCAGAACACCTGAGTCAAGGTGTGGGCAGAGCCATGTTCCTCTGAGAGCCGTAGGGGAGGGTCCTTCTCGCCTCCGCCACCATGGGCGTTTGCCGGCCATGTTGGCGATCCTGCACCATGGAGGCCTCGCTCCCGGGCCCGTGTTCACACCGTGCTCTTCCTGAGTCCCCTCCTCCTCCTCCTCTCGTAGGGACACCGGTCGTGTGGGCCTGGGGCCCCCACACCCCAGTGTGACCTCGTCCAGCCTGAGCTAATCACGCCTGCAGGGGCTCCGTTCCCACATTCTCACATCTTTGCGGGACACGATCCAACCAGAACAAATGCTTGGCAACAGCGACAGATCCCTTGCCCTCCTCCTGACTACCCACCGAGTCCCCCTCCCACCACCTTCAACCCCGTTAACCATCTTGTCAAGTGTTTTCCTCCATATTTTTGAGCACAGTTGTCACTTCTTCCTGATTTCTCAACCACTGACCTCTTTTGTAGCCGGCATATCAAATGTGTGCCTAAGGCGATGGTCGGAGGCGCAAAATCACGACTAAACGCTGTTCCCTGCAGAGCCAGGTGGTGTCGGTGACACTCTACTCTCCTTGGAGTGTCGCTTTGTCTTTTGTTGACTCAACTCTATGTACCCACTCGTAATAGTCCCCCACTGTCTCCTTGTGCCAGGAATATTCCTATTAGTGATTTTCCCAGATGCTCACTATCGTGGCCCATTTACAGGACGGAGGATGAACACAGAACATAAAACACAAACGCACAGAACACAAAGAAAAACACAGACACACGTACGAACGGTTGACTCGAGTAGTAATACACCAGGTCCATTTTATTTTTATACTCTAAAAGATTAAAGTTAGTTCCTTGTATGTAACTGCCCAGGCATTGCAGCAATGGCCATAAATTCCAGAATAGCCTTAGGGAAGCAGACGTCCCCTGACTCAGAATTTCAAGGTGGTTGCTCTAGGCACTAGGCATAGATAAAGGACCGAGATTAGCAAGGATGGGCAAGGCGAGCCACAGGGGACATTTCTCATCCCCAGCTTCTCTTAGGGTAACCCCCTAAGATCTTCGGCTGAACCCCAGAGGCTGTGCCTGGCTTAGGTCGCCCCTCCCTTGAGGGGTCTTACCCGTCATTGACTAACCAGCCATCTCATGGGGTGTACGCAGCAATCACAGGAACAATATGTTTATCCTGTGGCCTCCAGAACCCCAATGCCGTGGGGCGGGGCCGCTCTTGCTGGTTGCAGCTCAGGTCCTTTGTTATGCCTCTAGGCAACACCTTTATTTATCACAGGGAGCCTGTCTGGAACACATTACTTTCAAACGCTCTGGGCAGAATGCGTACATTACTCACTAACTTTAATTCTTAAACTAGGAAAATATATGTCAGTACCCTACACTCACACGTGCTGAGCACATATGGATTCTGATGCTGCACTCTGAGTTCTGCACTACCTCTTCTGCTCCACCTGGACAGCCTGTCTCTCGGCTTAACTTGGGGTTTTCTTCATTTTCCTTTCTTGGATCGGATGTGCACACAGGAGCACACACGCCCTCTGTCACGTAGTTGGGAACAACAGACGTGTGCCCTCCTTTTCATTTATTCGTTCCTTCATACGTCTGCTAAGAGGAACCAAGATATTTCCACCCAAACTATCGAGGGTGGCTGAGTTGAAGGCACCGGGGAGGCAGGACCCTCCGCCTCAGCCTCCGCCTGCCGGGGGCAACACAGACCCTTCCGCGCTGGACACGGCGTGTGCTTGTCGGCCCAGAGAAGGCGCCAGAGGGATCTGGGGACAGATTTTACCACCTTCCCACATTTTCCTACCTTTTCCCACATTTTCCTACCTTTTCCCACATTTTCCTACCTTTTAAAAGACTGGGCCGGGTGCAGTGACTCACGCCTGTCATCCTAGCACTCTGGGAGGCTGAGACGGGCAGATCGTTTGAACTCAGGAGTTCGAAACCAGCCTGAGCAAGAGCGAGACCCCGTCTCTACTAGAAATAGAAAGAAATTAATTGGGCAACTAAAAATATATAGAAAAAATTAGCCAGGCATGGTGGTGCATGCCTGTAGTCCCAGCTACTCAGGAGGCTGAGGCAGGAGGATCTCTCAAGCCCAGGAGTGTGAGGTTGCTGTGAGCTAGGCTGACGCCACGGCACTCTAGCCCGGGCATCAGAGTGAGAGACTCTGTCTCAAAAAATAATAATAATCACAATAATAAATAAAAGACTAGAACTGCTGTCGCCTTCATCTTGTCATATACTAAGATTTGTTACTCTTTGATAAAACGCTATTCCAGCATGGCCCCTGAGCCACTTGCCTTGCGAGAAATGCCTTTGAACTGAGGCCTCCTGCATGATGGGTGCAGCAGGTGTTGGTAAACTTCTGCTGGTTTTTCTCTTGTTTTTGGGAGAGTGCCTCAATTAAGAACTTATGAGGGTTGATAAAATAATTATATTTTTTCCCCTTCACTAGCAAATGCCTAAAAATGTCTTTATTCTGTCCCCACACTTGGTGCTATAGTTTGTCCTGACATAAAATCCAGACAGACGATCATTTCTATCTAGAAAGGCAGCAGGCAGCAGGCGACAGGGCTCCTGCGGCTGATTGGGGTCCAACAGCCAGAAGGACTCCAGCCACTTTGTGGGGGCACAGGGGACCACGCTGGGCAGGGTCCCGGCAGTGCCCCCCAAGTGCCCGGAGCTGGTGGCTTCCAAGGCAGGGCAGCAGCAGCAAGCGGAGGGAAGGCATGATTCTGTGGCCAAACGGGTGCAAGACAGAGTCCTCCTCCAGGGCTGGGACAGGGGGCACCGTGGGTGGGATGGGAGCCCGCCGGCTGCACTCGAACCTGCTGACTCGGGAGGACCATTCCAGAGCCTGGCATGCTTGGGCGTCTCGGGGCTCCAAGCAGAGGACAGCCAGTGCAGGAGTACGGGGACCCAGGCGGCGGCTGAGCCTCCAGACGGGCTCTGCTGCTCTGGGCTGCGGGGTCTGGGCAGGTGAGCTCTGTGCTCCTGCACGTCCTGCAGAGTTAGTGCCAGGCTGCTGCGAGTGTTCCACACGAACACACTGACAGTGCGCTAAATAAAGAAAAGCAGCAAACAGTTGCATTAGAATTCCACGATTGCTTTTTATTTGAAAAGGGGTTTTCGCACTCAAAATGGCTGGGAAGCGTGGCGCTGGGCCGCAGGGAGAGGCGGCGCAGCCGGGCGCACGCTGAACCCGCTCTCCCCCGTGCAGGGCGCTGCTGAAGGAGCAGTACATCGACAAGACCCGCGTGGCCGTGTTCGGGAAGGTGAGTCTGCACTGCCTTGTTTCCAGGCACCCCTTTGTTCGAAAGCGTGAGGCTGCATCGTCACCAGGCCCGATCCTGATTTATGGGGACGTCCTGGTCTGCTGGGGCACACTAAGTACTTTTTATAAGAGCAAGAGGCTGGTTGCTCGGTGATTCCAGCAATGGGAGCTTTCATTTGATCGGCTCGGTTATCAGAGCCCCATGGGACGGCACCCCTGCACCCTGGTGTCCCAGACCCGCAGAGCCCCACGGGACAGCACCCCTGCACCCTGGTGTCCTGGGACCCACAGAGCCCCACGGGACAGCACCCCTGCACCCTGGTGTCCCAGACCCGCAGAGCCCCACGGGACAGCACCCCTGCACCCTGGTGTCCCAGACCCACAGAGCCCCACGGGACAGCACCCCTGCACCCTGGTTCCTGGGGACCCACAAGCCCACAGGACAAGAACCCCTGCACTGGTTGTCCTTGGGACCCGACAGAGCCCCCACGGACACGCACCCCTGCACCCTGGTGTCCGGGACCACAGAGCCCCACAGGACAGAAACCTGCACGCGGCTTGTCCTGGGACCGCAGAGCCCCACAGGACAGAACCCCTGCACCCTGGCTGTCCTGGGACCCGCAGAGCCCCACAGGACAGCACCCCTGCACCCTGGTGTCCCGGGACCCGCAGAGCCCCACAGGACAGCACCCCTGCACCCTGGTGTCCCGGGACCCGCAGAGCCCCACGGGACGGCACCCCTGCACCCTGGTGTCCCAGACCCGCAGAGCCCCACAGGATAGCACCCCTGCACCCTGGTGTCCCGGGGAGTGAGGGGACACCTGTGGCCGCACTCTGCAGGTCCTGGCCAGAGGGAAATCCGGCCCTGCAGAAGGTTCCTGGCCTTTCCTTTGTGCCCAAGTAGGCCACAAGCCCTGCAGGAAAGTTGTATTTTAAACAAAGTGCAAAAGGACTTGTAGATTCCATTAGCAGTAACACTGTCAGAAAACGACAATACTCTTTTATTGCCATTAGGACAAAATATTCTGCTCTATTAAAGGAATAGTGTTATAGCATGTTATGACATGACAAGCTTGATCTCACGGTCATCAGTGGTGAGTCCCAGGGGAGTCTGGCCTGGCATGGCCGCACGGTCTGATCAGGAGGCAGCAGTGTCCCCAAAACACACACGTTCACACTCACGTACACACAGTGTCATGCAGCCACACACAGTGACACACATACACAGTGTCACACACAGCCACACACATTCACACACAGTATCACAGTCACATACAGAGACACACGATTATCACATGTATACCCAGTGTCACAGTGGCACACTCATGCACCGTGTCCCACACAGCCACACACATGCTCACACACAGTGTCACACGTGCACACCGGATAAAGTCCCTGTGCTGTGTCCTGGTTCCCTTTGGGCCCTCTCCCTGGGAGGCTGCAGCACACCTGAGCCACCTGCTCTGAAGGCACCGAGCAGGTGACAGTGTGAGCTCTGCTCTCTCAGGAGGCCGCCCTGCAGTGGGGCTCCTTCATGGCCCCCTGAGCAGGCAGCCTAGGAATTTAAGGACTGACCCCAGACGCAGGACACACAGGGATGCCTGCCTCACGCAGACGAGGACTGGAGACCGAGGCCCTGGGCCCCCTCCGGGCCAGCCTCAGGGCCGCGTGAAATGGGTTGGCCTCGCCTGGCTTCAAGGCGGGCGGCAGGAGCCACCGTAGGGGACGAGAGTTAGAAGGATCACGCGTGTAGCACGTCACCGTCACATGCCATCTTCACGTCCCTGACACGGAGGCTCAGGAGGTGGAGGACTGGTGTCACAGTACTGAGTTGCAAAGGCCTTTGCTTGCCAGCCCTTAAACAAATTGTAAAGTTAAATTATTTTGACAAAGAAACTCCGTGGAGACGGGTGCTGTGTGGCTGCTGTCGCTGTGTCGGGCTCTGTGTGCCGAGCGGTGACGGCACTCCCACCTGTCCCTGTCGCAGGATTACGGCGGGTACCTGAGCACCTCCATCCTGCCGGCGAAGGGCGAGAACCAGAGGCCCATCTTCACCTGCGGCGCCGCCCTCTCTCCGATCACCGACTTCAAGCTCTACGGTAACGGCCCGGGCGTGGCCCCTGGCCCCTGCTCAGCAGTCAGCCCCTGACCCCAGGCGCCCCGGGCCGGAATAAGCCACCCCAGTTGTGTGGCTGGTGACACCTCACGGGAAGTCAGATGCAGAGCCGGCGGGCAGCTGGCAGGAGCGGCGGCATAGGGAGGAAGGAGGGGTGCCGAGTGCGGTGGCGGCCCTTCCTCCTCGCTCCCAGGGTCTGGGCCGTGCCTTCGCCCCATGTGGCAGCAGGCGCTGAGCCAGGCTGGTGGCTGAGAGTTGCTACCGGGGGAGTTCGGCAGGGGTCTGGCAGCTCTGCTCTGCTGCCATCCTCCCGGCCGGGGGGACAGCCCTGCCAGCACCTGTCCTGGACCGCCGGGCTTTCCATGGCGAGAGCCAGAGATGGGGCCGGTGCCAGGGTGACCCGCTGAGGGGACCTCGTGGAGATGAGGCTCCCAGGCGTGGGAGCGAGACCCCGCCCAGGCACAGGCGGGCTTTACTGCGGGTGTTCGGGGCTCCAGGCCCCTGCGTTCTCCTCCTCCTGCTCCCCCAGCCTGTCCCTGAGTGGGAGTGGCGCTGTGACCTGAACCCGCTGCCCAGAATGCGCAGGGAGGTCCCCAGTGTGGCTGTGAGGCCTGCGCTCGGTAGGGCTGCTGAGCTGCGCTGGCGAGTGAGGTGGGGCCTCTAGCCACTGGCCTGCCAGCGCCTCCCGGGAACCCGCGCTCCCCTCGGCCCGGTCGACGGAAGAGGGAGCACAGACCACCTGTCCTGCTGCACCCCCGCCCCCACAGCCCGCAGGCCCCCACCCCAGCACCCTGCCCCCAGCAACACGCAGGGACCTCCGCGCAGCCGGCACCCTCTTGCAGCCAGAGGCCTCACAAAGACGGGCTCTTCCCAACGCAAACTCAACCTATAATTGCTCGGGGACGCTCCTGTTCACACTCTGAATAATTTAAGAGTCATTTTCCTCTCAGAGTACTGTGGCACCTTTCAAATTCAGTGAGACTTTCTTAATTTTTTAATCATGCTGTTTCAAATTCGGCTGATTCAGATGCACTTAACTGCCGCCACTGTGTCCTGATGGGTCACCTGGGCTCTCCCTGGAGCCCCGTGCCCCTGTGTAGGGATCGCCCGTCTCTGACGTTGCCGGTGGGCAGCCCCGAGAGCGTCCCGCCTTCCTCTGTCCTCTGGCGGGGCCTGCAGCCAGGGTCTGGGGCGGAACAGGGACACGCCCGAGCAAGTCCTGAAGGAAATCTGCTTTTACCGCTGGTTCCCTTTCCTCGTGCTAACGCGAAGCAGGGGGTTGTCCTGGCTATTTAGGAGTCACATTAGTTAGGTTTTGCTCAACGAAGGCGTTGCCGTGCTGATGAAAATCCAACCACCGGCACTAACCCGTTCTAACGCTGCCGTCGGACTGTCGGAGTACCCGTGTAAAGACCCCAGAGAGTCAGACGGTGTTTTCACCAAACTAGCATTCCCACGCACGGGCAGCAAGGCCGCCCCGCACCCCGGCCGCGCCCCAGGGTCTGGGCGCTGCACCCACGGGGCCCAGGGCCACGAGGTGACCTCCCACTCTGCTTCTGTCCAGCGTCCGCCTTCTCCGAGAGGTACTTGGGGCTCCACGGACTGGACAACAGAGCGTATGAGGTACGTCGGGCACAGCCGCCCAGTGGCGAAATGGGGGCTTTGGCCACGTCAGCCCTTGCTCCACCTCCTCTGCCCCACCCCTCCGGCCTGGCCAACTGTCCCCGACCCCCACTCCCGGACCCCGGCCCTCCCTCTGCCCCAGCAAAGCCCGTCAGAGACAGCCCCAAATCCGTCCCCTCAGCAGCCGTGGAGCGAGGCACGTGGGGCCTCCTGCTCCGCGTCCCCGCACGGGACTTAGGGGTGCGTCCGTGGGACACTCCCGGTGGCCGCGCCCTGGCGCTCCCTGTGCCCACGGCTGCTGCCACTTGGGGAGAAGCAGCCACGGACTGCGGGACAGAAGACGCCTCTGAGGCTCCCTCCTGAGCCGGAGCCGTCAGGTGGCCCCGTGTGGCCGTCAGACGCGGTTCCCCGGGCCGCGCGTGGGCGGGAGGCAGGACCGTGTCCTCAAGGTGCAAACTGCGCGTGGCAAAGGCGCTCAGCCCGCCCGGGGCTCCGGGAGGAGAGGGCCTCCAAGGCTCCCTGGAGCTGGAGAAAACCCTGTCCTTTTCTCCTCTCTTCCCTTCCACCCTCCTCTTCCCAAGGGAGGCGGCGAGGACCCGCCACGCCTGGGGTCGCAGGCGTAAAGCGCCCGGTTCCCCGAACGGTTCCCTCCCTCTCGGTCGGTTCCCGGCGGGGACGCCCAGCCCCTGCCGCGCGGCCACTAACTCTCCCCTTGCTGTGTGCAGATGACCAAGGTGGCCCACCGAGTCTCGGCGCTGGAGGAGCAGCAGTTCCTGATCATCCACGCCACCGCCGACGGTAGGGCCGGAGCGGGAGTCCCTGCGCGTCTAGCGAACGCGTCTCCCGGACGGCACCGCCGGCTCTGACAAGCACCTGCCTCTCTTTTTTTACAGAAAAAATCCACTTCCAGCACACCGCAGAGCTCATCACACAGCTGATCCGGGGAAAGTCTAACTATAGCCTACAGGTGCGGCACGCACGTCCCCCACTCCCCGAGGCACGCCTTGGCACGGACAAAGCGTGTGCTGGGGGGGCAGGGTGCACAGGGCTCCCGGGAGGGAAAGGCGTGTCCGGGCTGGGAAGCCCAGGACACTCTCTCGTCTGCTAAACCCCGGCCGGGCAGCGCCTGCCTCCACCAGGCCCCGTGTGTACGTCCGCGTGCCCCCGAGGCCGTGCCGCGCACGTGACTCTCCGGCCTTCCTTGCAGATCTACCCGGACGAAAGCCATTACTTCCACAGCGCCGCGCTCAAGCAGCACCTGTACCGCTCCGTCATCGGCTTCTTCGCCGAGTGCTTCAGGATTCAGGACAAACCGCCCGCCGTCACCACGAAAGAGGACGAGGAGGACGACTAGGCCGGCCGCCCCTCGCACAGACGTGGCTCCGTCCGCAGCTGGGGCGCCCTCGGCTTGCGTTTCCCCACCGCCTTCCCGCAGCCGGGCGGGGGCCACGTCCCGTAGCATGTGCGTCCCAGTACTGCAGGCGGCTCTGCTCGGGAGACAAGCTCCTTCCCGGTGGCTGTCACTCTCCACGGCGCCTGGAACCTCTCCACAGGGCGCGGCAGCCTCCTCCCGCCCGGAGCCACCGGCACGTGCCACGCCCCTCCCTACGGCGCACAGCTGGGGACGCCAGCGCGTGCCACACCCCTCCCCATGGCGCACAGTCGGGGACGCCCCTCCCCACGGTGCACAGCTTGGGACGCCGGCGCGGAGGGCCAAGGGCGGGAAAGCGGCCCCGGATCCACGCTGTGCGCAGTCGCCGCGCCCTCCGCGACGGAGTCCTGCGTTCTCGTGCGCAGCGCCACGTCCGTCGCACGGCAGCACCGTGGGAGCCACGGTGGGAGCGACCGTCATAGCACAATCGCCCAGCAGTCCGTGTCCGCAGACCGCGCTCCCTTCCGCGCCGCGAGGGCTACGCCGGGAAAACGGACCCTTTTCTGTACAGAGTTTCGCTGTAGCTGCGCTCATGGCCACCCTTATAGGATTAACTCGTATTTTTCTATGGTTTTAACCTGTCGCCTCCTCGTCTCCGGTCATGGGGTTGTTTTGCCGTGCTTCGCTTTGTTTCGTTTTCCGCTGTCCTTTCTTCAGTCGCCGTGTGGACTGCGCGTGTGTGGACGGAGACAGGTCAGAGGGGACTGTCCCCCTCGCGGCTGTCGTCACACCTGCGGGACGCCCCGAACGCCAGGGGACCCCACGGAGTTCTCGCTGGGAAGATCCGTGAATGACCCTCTCCGCCCGCGCTGCGTCCGGACCGGCCGCGGGTCCGCACCGTCCGCTCACGCGCGTCCCGAGCCCGTCCTTGTCCTCCTGGTGGAGCTCCTCGTCTTTCCGTGTGGCATTTGGCCACCAAACGTACAGCGCCGACCCCGCCCCAGGCCCGCCGTGTGCGCGGGTCTCGGGGCGCGGAGGTCAGTGTGGGAATGTGCCGGCACCCTCTCCTGTCTGGGGTGGCTCCGCCACCCTCCCCGCCCCCGCTGCCCGCGCTCGGTCCACGTGCCGCGTCCGCCTCGCGAGACGCGCTCCGGCCACGCGTGCGGGGGCGTCCCCAGTGTACAGTTCGCGCCGTTGTACATAGCGAAGACACGGGCGTCGGGGTCCGCGCCGCGCCTGCATGCCGACACCCCGGCGCCCGGACTCTCTAGAAGCGCTAGTTCGAAACATATCGGTTCCCGCCATTTCCTTTTGAGCTTGTCGCCAGCCTGAATGTCAGTGCTGAGCCCTCCAGCTTCCGGTCCTGCTTGGGGCGCCCGTGACGTCCCGCCGGCAGGGGACACGTGTCCCTGTCACTCTTTGGCGTTGGGGGTTTCCGTGTCATCCGCAGGAGCTTGGGGGCCGGCTGCGGTTAGGCCGCCGGCGAGACCGCGCGGGCGGGGGAAGGCAGCGCGCTGACGGCCGGGCCGGTCCCATCGCCACGTGGTCGGGGTCGGCCGCTCCGTGGGCCTGGCCGGCGGGGAAGCCAGTCTGGCCACGAGACCTGGTCGGAGGGACGTGGGGACGTGGCATGGTAGTGTTTGTTCGCCCGTGGAATAAAACATTATTTTACCACTCGGACTGCTCTTTCCGCGCTCATCCTCCTCGTCTCACCCCAGAGAGGGAGCCAGGCTCCAAGGAGGTTCCAGCCCCACCACCATGGACGCATTCCCTGGAGAGCCCGGCGGGGCCCAGGCGCAGACCCGGGACAGCGGCAGTGCTGACAGTGAGGAAGGGCAGGACCAGCAGGGAAGGGGTCCGCAGCCCCAAACCCATCGGAGAAGGCGGGTCTGAGCTGTGCCTTGGAAGTTTTAGGGTGGAGACAAGAGCTAACACTGAAGGAGAGGAGAGAGCGATCTCAGCTGAAACCACAGCATGGCTGCCCACTAGAAAACGTTAGATTTCTCCACCTGTGGAAGGGAAGTAACTCACCCACTTACTGTGTCGTTAATTCAGTGTCTGGGGGAACAGGGCCCGGCTGAAAGCGGGGCGCTGATCACACAAACACTTGCGGGTCTCAGGCAGGGACCAGTGCAGTCCTCCCGGCTGAATTCGTTCACTCTTGTCACCCTGGTTGATTAGGGGCCAAAAGCAGGAGGTTTTCTAAAAACCAGCAGCAGCAGCAGAAGCCGTGTAAGTCCAACACACTCATTTCCCCAGACAGCATCACCAAGAGCCCCCAACTCTCTCCCCACCCCAGCCGGGCAGGAAGCAACCCCCACCCCACCCCCTCCCCGTGGTTGCTGACTTGAAACCTTCCTCCTGGGCGGGGCTGATTTGTGGGGGGGAGGGGTCGCTGCTTTTCACAAGAAGGCACCTTCCCACTCTAGACACCCCGGTGTGGGGTGACGAGATAGGACTGGCCCTGAGAACAGAGCTTGTCCGCCTCCCCCGGGGCCACTCCAGTCCCCCAACTCCAGACGGGCAGGGGGGCTCCGGTGGGGACTCGCCAGTCATCCCCCAGTGGCAGCTGCTGCGGCTCGTCTGTGGCCAGGACTTCCCGCCTTCCCTGAACGCCGAGACAGGTACATATGACACAGCCCAGTGCTGTTTCAAATGAGTTTTTTGAGACGTTTTACTAATAAACTTCCAACTGTGCAGCTGTGGAACTCCCGAAGCACCTCTGAGCTCCTCACACCCAGACACCTGGGCTGTCCGTCCCGGAACATGAGCAGGGGCGTGCGAAAGGCGGGCCTGTAGGGCGCCCCACACCCCTACCCCCACCCCTGGCCTGGAAACATGCTGCTCCCCTCCTGCCTGGCCCGACCACCCCAGAGCAGTGGTTTCTTACAGGGTCAGCCGTCTTCGGGGAGCCCCTACTAAAGGCCCTGGTGTTACAGGAGCACAGAGGGACATTTTGGGGGAGGCCCTGGCCTCCTGCAGAGCACGCGGGACTGAGCTCCTAGGGCTCTCCCAAGAGCAACAGGTGGGAGCCCAGTGGGCAAGGGCGCGGCCATAAGTTAAAGCAGCGCCCTGCCCCTCAGCCGGCGGCGACCAGACAGAGCCAGGCCCCGGCCCCTGCAGCAGCTGGCCCCAAACGGTCAGGACTTGAGCGGTCTCTGCCAGCTCCCCTCACTGGGGGCCCTTTTCCAACTTAGGACCAGCTAGGAAAATTCAAGTCCAGGCCCCTAACCGATCTCATAGGCCGCCCCGCTCCTGGGGCCACCTGCAGCCAGGGCGCACCTGCGCCCCCCTCCCTGCAGCACGGAGCCCCCCGCGCCCTGGCCTGCCTTGGAGCCTCTGCCGAACGCAAGTGGCAGTAGCCAGCCCCTTGCCGAAGCGAGCTGTCATTTTGGTGTCTTAGCTCAGCTGGTGTGACAGAGCCCCGCAGACCGGGCAGCCGACACAGCGGAACTCACTTCTCATGGTTTGGAAGCTGGAAGTCTGAGCTCGCAGTGCCGGCTGACTCGGTTTCCCGGTGAGAGTTCCCGCCAGGTTTGCAGATGAGCGTCTTCTCGCTGCGCACCCGCTGGGCAGGCTGAGAGCCAGAGAGCGAGCTCTCTGGGGTCTCTTCTCACGAGGGCACCAATCCCGTTGTGGGGGCACCACCCTCACGACCTTGTCCAACCCCAGTCACCCCCCAATCCCGTTGTGGAGGCACCGCCCTCATGACCTTGTCCAACCCCAGTCACCTCCCAAAGGCCCACCTCCAGATACCGTCCCCCCGAGGCAGGGCTCGGGCAGGGAATGTGGAGGGCACAGCCCGTGACTGGCAGGCTGTGTTTGCACACTGGGCTCTGAAGAGAGAATCGTGCCGTTCTTTCCAGAGAAGAGCTGCTGAGGGCTCTGTGTGGGCCCTGGGCCAGGGGGCAGGGGAAGAGGAGGCGGGTGGGCCCCGCTCGCCTGCCGGGGCGCCCCAGGGTCCAGCTGGGCAGCCTGCTGGCGGCTGCTCCCGGCGGCCTGGGGTCCCTTCTGCAAACCCCAAGCTCCGACAGGGCCGCTCCCCACCCCTCCGGCGCTGACGCTGCGCAGCTCGGGAAGGCAGAGCCTGGAGAAGGCGTCACAGCCTCCCGTCACCCCCCACCCCTCCCTGCTGTCTTTTCTCAATGACAAGCTCGCAAGCCTGTCCTTGGGGCCCCGGCAGTAACCAGCAGAGTCGGGCTGGGGGGTCTAGCCTGTTCCCTCGGGGGCTCTCCAGCCCCCCGTGCGCTCAGCCCTGCACAGTCTCAGCCAACACGGAGCCAGGCGCGGCGGGGGCGGGCGTCAGGATCCGGACTCTGAGCAAACGACAGGCCCCCAGACCCGTCCGATCTCTGTCCAGTCGGGGGTCCCTTCCGGAAACCTCCCACTGATCAGCTTGCCGGGCACCATGTGAGCTGGCGTGAGGAAGATCTTTGCTGATTCACGGTGTAGGGCAGAGTCTAAACTAACAGGAGGGCCGTGCAGTTGTAACTCGAGGTCCAGGGCACGCACGCTTTGGCGTTGGGTCTGCTGGGGCCCCGGAGAGTGACGCACACGCGCATCACACGTCCAAGCACACACGTGCACACACATGACTTTGGGAAGTGCCACCCTGGATTGATTCTGCAGCTCCATCGGTCCCACAAAACCCGAGCAGGTGTCCCTAATGCTGCGGCTTGGCCCCATAATATTCGGGACCCTGGGTGACGATTCCCGATTGACGATTCACACAAGCCCCTGGAAAACCCGAGTTTCAGACCCCGCCAGAGAAGGGTCTGTCCCGAGTCTCTGCCGTGTTCCCACCTGCCAGTCGGCTCTGACGAGGCTGCAGTTGCTCTTCCTGCCCCTGCCCCTCCCCTTCACTCCCCCTTCGCCTCCAGATGCTGGGTTTGTTCTGCACACGATAAAAACAGGGGCCGGGACCAAGCACCTCTCAGGGGCTTCACGCTGTGGGCCAGCGTCCACGCTCCGTAAAACAAGACTTGGGCCAGCGATCAGACCCCAGTTTGCAGTTGCAGGCTGACCTCCCGGTTTGGCCTGTGCACACCTGTAGACCCCCTCAGGGTCTACAAGCCCTACCTCTGGGCACCGAGAATTGCCAGCGGGAAACAAAAGGCCATTCGTGCCTAGGGCTTTGCACCTTGTGGACCGAACTCCCTCACTCAGAGCCTCTCTCGGCGGGGCAGCGCCTGGTCTGGGGGAGCCACTGAGGCACTGCAGACCACGGGAGGGTCTTGCTAGCCGCACGCCCTCTCTCCGGAGAAGGGCTGTAAGGAACTTGGCTTTCCACGAGCCGACAGGCAGCGCACGCTCAGCCGTGACCTTCGGCCTCAGGAGAACCTGCTCGTGCATTTTCAGGTTGTGTTTCTACTGCCGGCTCGACAGACGGGTCCCTGGGGAGGAAGCGAGGCAGGTAACAAAGCTACTCCAATTCTACAGACAAGGAAAAGGGGTGCAGAAGTTTAAGCGATTTGCCCAGAAGACACAGACGGAGTAGGTAACGGCTGAACCTAGAACGTAGTGTCCCCGACTCCCGGCCAAACGCCTCCCACTGTGGGGGGAGGGGACATTTCACACTTCGCAAATGAGTTATTCCCGTGGGTGGAAAGACCCCCCTGGGGACCCCAGGGAGTCTGCAGCCTGAGGCCGGCGTGGCCGGGTCCTGCCCCCCCGTGGGTGGAGCCCCTGGGCAGGGGTCCTCGGAAGGCTGAGTCCCCAGTGAAGACTGCCGTGGGCAAAGCCATGAGAACATCAGTGTTTGTCAGTGAAACCCCATTTTCACACAGAGCTGAGGAGGCCAGGGAAGCTTGGGGCACCCACCGCCCGTGTTCTCCATGGGTGAGAGAGGAATTTTTAAAACAAATATATAAATATGGTGAATTCATTCGCTAGTAGAGAAATAGGCCCCAATAATGACTCCAAATTCTGGTTTTGAACACACCAGGCTTGCTGGCGCTCTGTGGCTCGGGTTGTACCAATGTTAACAGACATGTGGTTTTCTAAATTACCATTTTTATGGAGATCTTAATATTGATCCAGAAGTCCGAATGATCACTCACTGAACGAGATGTCAGCTTGCTGGAGGGAGGTGGCAGAACCAAGTCAACGCCCGGGTTCTCTGCTACGCTCCAGCAACGCCGGGCTTGGTGGCGTGGGCCAGGCCTGGGTGGCGTGGGCGGGACCCTGGAGGCATGGGCCGGACCTGGTGGCCTTCCGTGTAGAGCACCGTGACACAGGGACTGCACCTTAGGAAAAGGCTCCGCCACACCTTTCAAAAGCATCGATGGTGCCACAGGGCCCCGCTGCTTGCGTGACTGACAGAGAACACCAGCCAGGCGAGGGCGTGTCCCTCACGATCAGCCCTGGCCAGAGGACCCGGGGACTTTGCAAAGACCAGGACTGCAGGTTGACACAGCTGCTCACTGGGCCCCGGCCTGCTGCCACTCCTGGTCGGTTCCTGGCATCGGCCACGGGGGCATCTGCCCAGGGCAAGGGCCCTGCCCGGCCAGACCTGGCTCCCGTCCGGGTCAGGCCAGGACGCCCTCCCCGTCCATGTCTCTCCCTTGGGCTGGCACCTGAGCCCCCGTCCCAGCCCCTTTCCCTGGACGTTGCATGTTACCCGGATGTGAGCGTCCTAATCTATGACCCTTATCTGTTGATGAGTCTGTGCAAGG